CGTCTAGCGCTTAGCCTTTCGGGTCCCTTTCAGAGCCGCGGTTGTTTTCGCCGCTCGGCCCATTCGAGATGCAAAGTTGATAGTCGTACGAAGTTTATTTGGGGCCTCTGAATATACGACTTCGAAATTAATCGATTCTACAAAACATTTTTCTTTCATCTATATGCATACATTTAGCAGTAACTCCAGACTAGAATGCTTTGGCTGGCCCTAAATAAGCTTCGTGTGACTATCAACTTTGCATCTCGACTGGGGCGAGCGGCGAAAACAACCGCGACCCTGAGTGAGTCCCGAAAGGCTAAACGCTGGACGGGATTAACCCGCGAGGAGAATAAAACGCCGGGACCAGAAAGTGGCCTCATTTCCAGCACTGGTCGCGGCCCCACCACGTGCACACCGCTGAACCCACACCGTCGAAAATTTAATACGACAAATGAGTGCACGCGCTCGACTTTGCGTGAAAATTTCAGCCCCGTAGCCCTTACCGTTCCCGAGCAATAGCCTGTTTTTGCCGTTTTTAATGTTAACCCTATGGCGCACATGAGCACGCGCCACGGGCGCACCCCCGGCCGAATCGTGCCCAAAATCTAATACGACCTGTTGAATGACGTGACCCACGAGTCGTGAAAATTTCACCCTCCTGCGTCAATCGACGGCGCCTTAATAAGCCTTTTAGGGAGTAACCCCGACGGCGTGGGCGGATTTTCTAGGATTTATAATATAGATAACTAGTGCCTCTGCTTACTGCTAAATCACCTGGTATAATGTACTGTGTTGCTCTGTAACTATATTTTGTTTAAAAAATGCATAGAGCTTAGTGTTATTGCTGTCTGCTTTTAGCACAATGAAGTAAGTCCATTTCACTTTTGTTTTGTTAATTTTATTTCTTTTTTTTTTAGTTCATTCTTATCAGTTTTTATATGTTGCGTGATTGGGGTTGTGTTTGATGGATAAGTGTACCTACTTGACGCAGAATTGCCACTGGGGCGGGAGTGGGGCTGTGGGCATGGATAGACAAAGCATCATAGATATCAGATGACCTAGAGCTGGCATTCAAATCAAAATGCATGATTGATGATTGCTCTTGTTAATACAAAGATCAACAATGCTTATTGCTCATCATGGAAGCATTTTGTGATCTGTGTTCAATTTGGTCATTTTAAGTGGATAACCCAGCTGATGCCTCCCAGGCTGTCACCTATTGGCCGACTACTTTGAGGGGATTAAGAAGGACTTTGAGCGAGCAGCAATAGTCTACAAGAGCACATGCGACGACTATGGGTTGGCTGAAAGCTGCCACAAGTATGCCTCATATGCGTTCACGGGCAAAGGCTGCAAACAGGACGTGGAAGGTGCGATGCGCTACTTCACGCGCGGCTGCGAGGCCGGCGGTATGCAGTCGTGTCTGAACGCGGGCCTGATGCACCTGACGGGCGCCACCTCCAACGGCCAGACCAAGGACGTTCCACGAGCCTTGGAGCTCATTGAGAAGAGCTGTGCCGGCAACAACCCGACGGGCTGCTACTACCTGTCCGGCCTCTACATCAGCGGCGTCAAGGGCCACCACGAGAAGGACATGAAGACGGCGTTCCGGCATGCCCTCAAAGCCTGCGAGCTGGGCAACATGTACGCGTGCTCGAATGTCAGCCAGATGTATCGGAAAGGCGACGGCGTGGAAAAGAACGAAAAACTGGGCGCCGAGTTCAAACAGCGTGCTTTGGACATGCAGGAGCAGGTCAAGAGCCAGCTCAATGTCGGCTTCCAGCAGGGTGCCGAGGGATCATGATCCCGGTGTGGTTGGCTTTGTAGTTTCTGTTTGTGATAAATGTGAATGCAACGAATTTTTGTTGTACATGGCCTAATCAGAATGTTACATTCTGATCATTTTAAGCAGTCAATAGCGTTGTTGCTTGTTATTGTTTAATGAACGCAACATTAAGACGCTTTATTGCCGATGATATAAGTCACTGGCTGTAGTCGAGGAAATCCAACAATAATAAACAAAACTTATGTTCTTTGTTTTTTACTGCACCATTTTTCGTTTTCGCTGTTTTTAACGGAACCAGGGCAAGGAACAGAACATGAAGTAAGTTGTGGAACATCGCACGAAGGCTCGCTAGCGTAGGGGGCAAATAAAGGACCGCATCAATGAACTCGAATTGATTCGAGTTCTGAGTATAGCGTGAACGTCACATTTAATATTCTACTAGTTTCTTCTTTCTCGTCGGCTATCCACTGATCCAATAAAGAGGCAAAATCACACGAGAGCTAGCAAAAGCAAAGACGCTGTCGATTTTTTTAGGATTCGCCGCCGGAGAACCGCCGTCCTGCCCCAATGATGGTGCCGCCGTGGTAACAGGGTCGCGCTGACCCAGTCTGCTCGGGAAGCCCTGGCTCCACCGATCGCTGATTGTTCCCTCCGTTCCCGGCTCCGTCCGTGGCGACCCTAATGAAACCACGGCCCCCACCCAATGAGGCATCGCCAGTCTTCGCGGTGAATTGCCCGAACCAGGCAGTACCGAGGTCAAAGTGCGTGACGACTGACGTGCACCCGAAACACCCATGATGAAGTTCGCTACTCAGTTCAGGCAATTGATTGTTTCCGTGAAAATGTTTGGTTTATGTAGGTACACAAACTGCGCAAACTACCTAATACCTATTTTTGCATGGTGTCTTGATGCTTCATCTCTACATAAATGCGCGTGAGAACTTCCGGGAATTTCATCGAGCGGTTGCGCCTTACGCTACTGGCATTTTAACCCGCGCCCTGCTGGGGGAAGGGAAGGGGTTGGAACACCCCGTGCGATTTTTGGCACACCTTACCATGCATCTTTTTTTGCACATATCGTGGAAATTTTAGAGTAAGGTCAGGTCAGCAGGTCACGTCAAGTGACCTCACCTCAGAAAAAAGTTGTCATGCTTGCCATGCAGCTACACCGAGTGAGGATCCCTTGAACATTCAGCGATTATAAGAACAACAGTATGTTCAAAATGTTTATCTCGGAATTGTGATATCGGTGACCTATGGTCAGGTCAATTTTGCGCCCTGTCGATTAGGGATACCTAAGTCAATGGGAGAACCCCTTTTAGACGAACGTCATTCTAACACCGAAATATAAGTGACCATGACACGTCGAACCAGAAAATGACACCTGTGGCCCTTCCGTACCTATGTCCCTGAGGTCATCTCGGGTCACGAATGGTGTCCAACAGTTTTTCGCCAATGCCTAGGTACATACCTATCGATTGATAGTAAAACGCTACAGCGATGAAAACGCTTTAGATATGTGACGATACGGATCATGACGGTACGGATCGACTGATATGCAACACGACCTTTTCCGGTCAGATCACGGGTCATGACCGTTTGACCTAACATCAAATTTTTAAGCTGACCTTCCAAGGTCAAGGTACAATTTATTCTAAGCGTCCCGTCGAGAGGAGCACTGTGGTGGTAAAAGTGAGCGCGCGCAAGTTTTGAGTCAAAACTGTTAGTTCAAGAAACGTCTATTTTGACTGTTTTTGCCCCTGAGTAGGGTAAGGTGCCTAATTAGCGACCCCCTTAATTTGAACCGTCATTGCTCACGCTCTGTGGGTGCCACTGTGTTATTGGCTTGATTTTCGGAGAGATCGTTCATTTTTCTATTAAAATATAGTCATTTTCTGCCCCAATAGGTATTCACTAACTTATTTGTAGTGAGCATTTTTGGCAAACCATTGCAAAAAACGCTAATAGGGAACTCTTCCCGATTAGCGACCGGGGAGGGTCACTAATAAGTCTATGGGTTTCCCCATATTAAAAATGGCAAAAAATGCGACGCCGGAAAAGATGAAATATGATCTCAAAAAGATAACCTATACGCAAAGCACTCAATCACTCGAACAGGAACGTTTATCCAACACATTTACGTGAGTAAAAACTAATTACGTGATGCACCGAAGGCGAAAAGAAGGCGGAAACCCACGTTTTGCGGGCTATCTTGTATGATAGGTATTCGAGGTCCGCCCTGAATTCGGCACACCTGCAGTCGGTGACGACATTTGGCATCCCCTGCCACACATTGCAAGCTTCAGCAACACCTCATTTTCATTTCTCTCTTTTCCCCTTTCTTTCCCTTCTTGAGCTATTTGCGACCATGTCAGGCGCAAATAGGAAATATGAGTTGCGACACATTTTTAACCGCCATGCTGTGCACAGTTGAGCGATTCACTAGACACTATGGGAAAACGGCAATCAATTAAAAAAGGAATGTCGAATCAGAATAAAAAAGGTGCATCATCCTAATGTGCATCGCTTTTCATCAGAGAGGGCCCAAACACACACGTTTTGGATAAGAAATTCGTCATTTTCATTTAAACTGACCTGAAACGTCCCACCAGAAACATCGACGACCGGAAAATAATTTAATTTGATAACCAAAGTATGGCTGACCTTTTGACGATGCTTTTACCCCGTTTTCTCCTGCCAGTTTTTCTGTAGGGAGGTAGGTCGCAAATCGGAAAGGGTCGCTAATTAGGCACCTTACCCTACCGTAGGTCAAATTTGGGGGCAGGCTGGAAAAAACGTTAAAAGAGCTATAAAGTGCATTTTTCCGCGGCGCTGTAGCTCTATTCGTATTCCGCCGCCGTGTGGCGGTTCACTACATGGTGGTTTCCATTGGCGGCGGAACGGGGAGGGCACCGGGGCACCGTGCCCCCCTTTGATTTTGGCATTTTAACAGTAGCCCTATGGGAGTTGCATGGAAAGAATGGGACCAAAAGTCGGCAGTGCCCCCTAAATTGAAGGTGTTCCGCCGCTACTGGTGGTTGCTTGTAGCCATGCAGGTAAGTCCAGTGCAATAAGTCTAGTTTAGTACAATAATGGTTAGGAATGAGTTCTACATGTTATAAATGTAGCAGTGATACTCGTATGTAGCAGTGATGGTATCGACTTGCACTGCCGCCCTACACTAGGTACGAATATTTTATACGGCGTCTGCCATTATAGAACAGGGAACACATTGCACATTGATTGTGTATTTCATCACTGAATTCAATTCATAGAACACAACGTATCTTCACAGTATGCGATTGCCGCCGACTCTGAGTCGCTGGCCTTAAAGGGACTATCCCACCTTCTAAAATGTTGTTAAAACCAGTTAAATTGTGCCCGACTTTATAGATTGGATGACCAGGAACACGGTTCTGGCATTTATTTTTCATTAAACATCTTAGGCTTCCCATATTCCAAACACAAACTTTCAAATATGTGACGTCACAGCCCAAAATTACCTCCTTCCCCAGGCCACATTACTATCATAAAGCTGATTCTTTTTACTCTGTAGGCACCACAACAAAGTTCAGACCAAGTTTTAAGCGATTTTTCAACGAACAAACCCATTTAAATCAGAATGACTAAACGAGGTGACGTCACACTAACGGTCGCTCCATGTTGAAGATAGGGCCTTGTACAAGGCCCATTTTCAAATGAAGGGAACGAATTTCTTCAACACCAAGAGGGCGCGGGGGTTGCAACCTAGATAGATAGTGGTTTCTGAACCTCGCCGCAAACTTGGCTATCTCAACTCAAACCCCATGTTAAAGGTGGGATAGTCCCTTTAAAATCATAACAATGGGTGGACTAGCACAGTATGTGATCACTGTGTCGGAACGGGTGTCTCATCTGGTGGCTGATGCGGACCAGACTCTCGGATTGGCGAACCCGACTCGGGAACGGACGGGTCCGGCTTGGGGACCGGCGGACCCGCCTCGTGGACTGGTGGGTCCGCCTCCGGGACCCCGGGGGTCCGACTGGTGGATCCAACTCTGGGTCCGGCTCGAGGACTGGCTGGCCTGGCTCGGACCGTCTCGGAGTTCACACGACAGTTCAGTCCACGGCTCTCGTCAATCCATGAGACGCCTCCAACGGTGTGCCACAGCAGCTGCCGTCTACTTACCGGCCTGGAAACAACAGACGGTCCCGGTCAACCGAAACTCGGCTCACATATGGACTGCAGATGAGTGGAAGATGGTCTGACCCTGAACCGAATGGGTTAACCTGAACTGAACTGAACTGAGCTCTGATTTCGAACGATCCCACAGTGACACACCAGTTGAGGGTCATTAGATTTTAACCTGAACGGACCTTTTTAGATTTTAACCTTAAACGTTGACCTCGATTGGTTAATAGCTGTGACCTTGAAGGGGACATAGCTCTGACCTTGAACGGGTAGAGGAAGGTCGTCACTGAGTCGGACGAGATCTCGTTGCTGGCGATACACTGGTACTGGCCCATGTCGGACCACTGAAGGTCGTCGATGATCAAGTCCCCGCTGGGGGTCACCTGAAACACCGGGAGAGAGGTTACGCCTGGCATGGAAGTCATCGGGCTAGGACGCCCATCAGGCACACTACACTGGGTAGAAAACAAATCCGCATAAGATATTTAGCCCCTGACTGACTGATCATAAGGGGCTGATTAACGGATAAATTAAAATATCGGCAGACCTTGACTCTGTAACCGTCGAACGATTTTTTGTCAACATTCCGTGATTCCCTGTCTACGTCGACCAAACGTGCTTCTACCATCAGAATTTCCGTGATTTCGTGAATATCATCTACCTACCGTGATTCTGCCCGATCCGGTCTCCAGCGGCTGGTAGTTCCGTGTCCAGCTAATAGATGGCGCTGGGAAGCCGCTGGTGATGCAAACCAGGCGAGCCTGGGTGCCCATCCTGGAAATGTTTTAAGCGCTACTCAGTACTCTTCTATTTATCTAAATGTATGCTTTCCATAGATTTGATAGGTAATCCAGCATTCGAATAAGGCATGCAGTAGCAAAGGCTTGGACATGGTACAAATGTGCATGCATTAGGATATCATTGCAAGGCACGTAATAGCTAGGTATGCATCGTGACCGTTTGCTCATTAGGCCGGCTAGGTTAAGTAGATAATTGTTGCGGCTGATTCGTTTCACTCACATGGCGAGAATCTTTGGTCGCCACTGGACGACGCGCACAGCCTGGAACGGCGAGCCCTTGGCCTCCTCGCAGGCCAGGATGGACTCCTCGCTCAGCGGCTCTGCCATAAAAGGAGTCGGCCGGGAGTCATCGGCTTAGACACCGATATGTGAAATTTAATCGTAATATTTTGAAAAAAAGTTAAATATACATAAGGATGCCAACCGAAATGCATTTTTGCCAAATCAGATGTAAAGATTTTTAAGTGTTTGTAGCATGGAGAAAACATAGAGAAATCAATTTTGTCATTGCTTCATAATAATGCATTAATAATTGTAGGTATTGACTGCTTCCATAGACAGACGTCATGCTGTTTTGTCCTTATTTTGGCTAATTTCTATGGTTACCTGTAACGTAGAGCTGGGTTGTGGAGCTGGTGACCTCACTGGGCGTTCTTCCTTGGCACGTATACTCGCCCTGAAGACAGATGAACGGGTCAAATGTCTTATGTACCTAAACGGGTGATGGGCTGCGAGACTGCAGGTTCAGTCGCCAGTACGGACAAAACAAAAGCGGCGATACGGAGCACACCCTGGCTCGGTCAGCTGTGCCTTATTTTGCAGAGTGTGCATGAGATGAAACTGAGGAGATTCCAGCTGTGAAGCGGAATCATGAATTAGCGTGGCCGTTCTGCTTCCAAGGAATTAAAAGAAAAAAGTTTCTCTGTGACCTAGCCGACAGACAGGGTTGTTGAAAAAATCAGTCATTTTTTCCAATAGTGAATTAAAGGCAGATGTTACTGATATAACGGATAACCTATTGCTTCTAACTTTCTGGGTTTGCCATAGGTTCGGGTTGGGGAGGGGTTGTCGGTCGCTCTTGTTTTATGTTTCATTGTTAGGTGTAAAATATGCGGCTTGCAAGTTCTAACCGAAAGCAACGTTCCAGACTTAAGTTGTTGCTACTGGACTTGAGACGTAGGTATCGTTGGTTTACTTTCAACAGATGACCGATTGTGTACCGTAAGGTGGGGCTATTTGAGACAGTGGGGCTATTTGAGACAGTATTTAAAATTGTTATAAAATAAAAACCGTTCGAAATTTATGCTTAATTTTTGCATAGGCGATTTACCGCTCGATTCCACACCTTCCTGAGCAAAAATATCACATAAAAATCAAACGCTCTCCATTTTATAGCGATTTTAAATACTGTCTCAAATAGCCCCACTGTCTCAAATAGCCCCTTTACGGTACACATCTTTTGAAATGGAAACTATTTTTATTGAAACACTAGTTCAGTCTCCATTATTATCCACCAGATACCTATTTGGTTTGGTATTACCGGGCATTATTTAACAACAAGCGAATACGTAAGACGGCAGCTGACCGGTTGTTTTGCCAGTACCTTTCCACCTTTCTTTGACCCTGAGCGGTAACGGTGCCAGCGACAGCCCCCGGCCCGACATTTCGTCGTGGGTGCAGACCCAACGGCAAACCGGCTTTACCGATATCAATTTTTGACACCGTATTTGGGAACAGTCGTGTAATACTCGACACGAATACCTTTACCAGGGCACCGGTTACAAGGGCAATGTGTTTCGATGGCTGTATCTTGATTCGTGAGACGCCTTTACATGAACGAAGGCTTTATTTTGTACCGATAAGCATTCCTGAAGCTTCACCATTCGTTTTCCCTTTTCCAGATGCCAAATAGGACCGATTTGGTGAGCCCTCCACACATTGCTAGGTTTCAGCGATGATGCTTTGTTCTGGATGGCACGATAGAAATGCCCGTTTCTATTAAGCCAGCAGGGGACGCCCATTTGTCTGAGCCCGTGGACAAGGAGGCTGATGCATTGCAAGCCTTTGTAACAGACAGACGTGTAGAAGTTTCCTTGGATCTTTCCCTATTACATGGATTGATTATTCCTGTAGGTTGCCGTGCAATCCATTGGAGTGGCCGTCTGGCGCCATTCGATATACTGAAGCCCAATTATATTGACCGCAAATTTGCCTGCACCAATATCGCCTTTGCAAAGGCCTCATTTAACTTTCGAATGCTGAATAAATCGAATCACACATAATCCCGGCTAGTTATTTTCTGGTGTGCCCTGATCTGGAGATTGGGTAATTATTGGTATCTGATACCGATACTGCTCAGTGCTCACGGCGCGGCGGCCACGAAGGCTGACCTGATCGGAGGGGCTGACACAGTCGAGGTGCCAGACTGACCTGGTGGGCGGGGCTGACACAGTCGAGGTGCCAGACTGACCTGGTCGGCGGGGCTGACACAGTCGGGGTACAGCCGGGCGCGGATCGCCCCGATACCGCGGGGTTAGCGACTGACCTGGTCGGCAGGACTGACACAGTCGAGGTACAGCCGGGCGCGGGTCGTCCCGATACTTGTGGCCGAGTCCAGCGGCAGAGGCTCCATACCCGACAGCTCGCTCCGCAGCTCGGCGAGCTTGTCACTCGGCCGGTCCTGAAGACATGTTACATGAACATTTCAAGGTTCTTCGAAAAAGAGAAGAAAAAAGTTCATTTCATTCACTAGCTGGACGATTGTCATTCTCAAGGATGTCCTTTTGTCAGGTATTCTGTATAGTGACGAGTGCGGAGTGACGACAAATTGGTACCGACTGCGTGCGGCACCGGCCTCGCGTCTCACCTGGGCATGGACGGCCTTCCCCCTGAGCCACTGGACCACAGGCGGCGGTGAGCCCATGAACTCGCACTCGATCATCACTGAGCCCGACTGGCGGGTCGTCTTCAGCGGGCCGGTGGCCTCCCCCAGCTGTAGGAACTCGCCTGGGGGCAGCACGGGGACATACAGACACGGTCAGCGGGCCGGTGGCCTCCCCCAGCTGTAGGAACTTGCCTGGGGGCAGCACGGGGACATACAGACACGGTCAGCGGGCCGGTGGCCTCCCCCAGCTGTAGGAACTCGCCTGGGGGCAGCACGGGGACATACAGACACGGTCAGCGGGCCGGTGGCCTCCCCCAGCTGTAGGAACTCGCCTGGGGGCAGCACGGGGACATACAGACACGGTCAGCGGGCCGGTGGCCTCCCCCAGCTGTAGGAGCTCGCCTGGGGGCAGCACGGGGACATACAGACACGGTCAGCGGGCCGGTGGCCTCCCCCAGCTGTAGGAACTCGCCTGGGGGCAGCACGGGGACATACAGACACGGTCAGCGGGCCGGTGGCCTCCCCCAGCTGTAGGAACTCGCCTGGGGGCAGCACGGGGACATACAGACACGGCTCCGCTGGGGGAGGGGCATCGAGCATTCAGTGGACCCGTTAGTGTCTGTTGATAGAAGGCGAATTCGTCATGGGTGCTAATCGCCTAATGCCAGCATCATCGCCTCAGATACGTTGTGTAATGCGATACTCAACTCTGAATTGCTTCAGTTGCGGTACTAAATAATCCGATTGCGTTTTAGTGAGGCTGTTTCGTGCAGCAGAAGATGTCGGTATTGCGAACTTACCCAGTTCGGTAGATGCAGGAGCTCGTCTGCTCATCCGACCTGGCGGTGCCCTCGCTAGGATCTATATGGAAATGGTCAGTAATGTAGTTAGTGAAGGCACATTTGCCTCGGCTTGAATAAATATTGCAATAAGTTCCCTCATTTACGATTCGCTATTGGTACGGAAACTCGGGACGGAAAATAGAAAGAATGCCTCGGGAAGATACTTTTTAGTTAGTTCCGTGACGTCAGGTGTTAAAACAAATGAGTCAAGCCAATGGGTGGCCGCTGTCCTGGCACTATGCAATAATTTTTCACAGTTATTTCCTTTAACATGACTGTGCAACATAGCGGCGAATACCTGTGATGTGATCGCTGTGAGACAGAGCAGCAGCCGCACCGCCCATCGTCCCACGGAGCTGGTCATCCTGCGGGACAGAGCCACGTCGGTCATCCAGACACCGTTAAACATTCGGACAGGCCCGCCGAGATACAGCGACACCCGTGTACGCTCGGCCGCCGAATACTGACACCTCGGCCGCCCCTGCCATCACGGACCTTCTACGCATTTAGGCGGTGACATCGGCGCCTCAAATGGCTACCCTACATATACGTGTCCATGGATGAGTGAAGTCGTGTTAGACGGGCCCCGCGCTCGTATATGATAGCTGGGGTCCGCGCGACGCTGGACAAACACCCAATACCGTTCGACTGTGGTCACTCGTCTTCATGCAAATGTATCGTACTATGCAGTGGTGCAAACCCTAATCCATGAAGCCGCCGTTCATCTTTTCTTTTTCAACACGAGATAGACACGAGGGGTTGGTGCTTTGGGCCTGATTCGAAGTATTTCTCTCACTGCGCTCCATGAAAGCTAAGATGAAGGGGTTCATGCCACGGCTATAAAATAATTATTGGCCAGAAATACAATGCGCAGTAGGTGCATGGGGTGAAGAATTTCGACGGATTCCTGCATCACCATTACACTCCGCTTGTGACGGCTGGGCGAGAACAGCTTACTGACTGCCTATAGCCTAAGTCGATGCACACTGCATAATACAGATAGAGAGGAGTCCAGGAACCTGAGGCGACGGACGGGTACTTCCCGTGAGCAGATGGTGGAGGCCCAGTGGGGACTGAAATTATGCTGAGCTGACTAGCTGCCTGCAGGGAAACTCAGCGCTCTCAGGTGCAGCCCAGCCGTGAGTTTTAAAAGGGACGACCCGCCTTAACGATACATTGCTAGTTAAGACCCCCAGAGGTCAATCAAGGACCATTGAAAATATAGACGTAAATTATACGTTCCAACTCGCTAAACGTATCCTTAATCCTGTGGTGACTAAGAACGATTTGACCCCAGGTCATCGTTGCAAGGGATTGTTCTTCGTTCTATAGCTGTTTAGGTGCGCGCTGCCGTCTGATCGCGTCGATGTCATTCCATGCTTACCAAACGGTCTTAAGATCCTTCAAATTTTCGTAGCCCGATAGCCCGATAACAGGAAGGCCTCACAGTATTTTGCAGCACTAGATAAGTAAACCAGTATAACGCCTTTTGGGGCGACTAACGGAGCGAGCGAGAGGGTGGGCCTTGCACGTGCGAAATTTCGAGGGGGTACCTCCAACTGACTTGTGCACGGCACCCTACTAAGCGGTCTCTAGCAATGTGCCAAATTTGAGCACAATCGGCCCAGCCGTTCTCGAGATCTGGAAGCGGCACCCTGCACGTGCGCACGTGCAGAAAGGGTCCCAACTGACTTTTGCACGGCACCCTACTAACTGGTCCCTAACCGTGTGCCAAATTTGAGCGCCATCGGTCCAGCCGTTCTCGAGATCTGGAAACGACCCCTGCACGTGCGCACGTGCAGCAGCACCCCAACCCTGGCACATGGATATGCAGTGCCTAGTGGGTGCCCACCTACATGCCAACTTTCAGCGCAATCGGCCAAGTAGTTACCAAGATATTGCAGCAATTACAAAACTGACACCTCTTCGTTTTGCACGTGGCACGTGCATAAGGGGTCAGCCACATGCATCGGGAATAGTCCAATACTTGGTAGAAGGAATGAAGCTACCGTACAAAAATTACCGCGTGTAAATCGGTCAAGTGGTTGCTGAGATATAAGCCTCGCAAAAGCGTCCGCACGGCCGGCCGGCCGGCCGGCCGGCCGCTCATACTCAGAAATTTCTGTTAATCTAAGGAAAGACTACGCTCGCTTCGCTCGCTCCGTAATGAGACAGTGATTTTGTGATGTCATTAAAACAAGTGAATTATTTGCATGTTTTGTTTCTTCGTGCTATCATCGAGAAGAAAACAAGGTGTCTTTCTTAGCGAGGTTATTAAATACAGTTTGTGCGTATTTTTAGCCTATCAACATCGGTCAACTGTTAACGTGCCTATGGTGTATACGGTGCTGAACATTGGACACTGCACATGGTGAACACGCCTCACCAAAGTTAGCCGACTAATATACTGCAGCAATGCGCGCGCCCGAAGGTCTACGCAAAAAAATGAATAGCGAGTACTGTGGCGACCAATGCTGCCTAACGGTCAGAGCCTGAAAATCAGAACTGAGGGCACTGATAACACCGAGAACTGACCTGAACTGTGCTGTAGTGTCGGCCGGAGGACGTCCGATGGCGGTGTGGTCTGCCCGGGGCTCTGTGCTGGTCTCCGGCCGGAGGTGGCGGCCCCGGATATATGGGGAGCGCCCGGCCGCCCCAGCGCAGGCGCCCGGCCACCGCGGTCTCCCCACGGCGCCAGCCAGCCGGTCCGCTGACCGCTCTCAGCCGAGCCGGCGGCGCGAGACAGCTGTGAGAAGCCGGACATGGCCCCCTCGTTATCTGGCCCTGCCGATGGTCAATTCCCTGACAGGCGTGCCACGGGGAGGGCCTCGTAATTACGTTTTGGGTAGGAAGTGGCAACTCGCGTGACAATAACGTCGTTTCCCGACCCTGGCCGTGCTTCTGAACGAAAAGATGCATCGCTTAGGCTGAGAGGATTAGGATATGATGAGAAAAGGAAACGGTGCAGTTGAAATTTTGAAAATGTTAATGATTTTAAAGCATGCCGAGATGTCCGCTATGCGTTAGCGTAGGTGTGTGCGTGTCAAAAAAAAAAAAAAAAAACATTACAGACCATTGCACTGACGGATCCAAGGGGCCCCCTCGCAGCGCCCAATGTCGATGAAAATTTATGGTTTCTCTTTAATAGAATGAAAAGTAAATAGCTTTTATTGGAAAAATAGCTTTTAACCCGCGCCCCGCTGGGGGGGGGGGGGGCGTAGAATCTGCCCCCTCCCGTTTTTCGCCAATAACTTCTAAACGCGTTATGCTAGCGACGCCAAACTTTTAGTACCTTATTAAACATCAATTTAACACGTTTCCTGAAAATTTGAGCGAAATCCGTCGAACAATTTTTGAGAAAATGACGTTAAAGTGACGTCATGTCACCCATTTTCGCCTCAAAAACGGCAAAATTTCAAACGCCGCTAACATCTTCATTTTTAAAGGAATCAAGACGTTACAAAAAGATTATAAGTGATTCTACTTTGTCTATCTAATGACTATCTCGGTTTTTGAAAATTTTGGATTTTGTCCCCTTTTTTGTTAAAAAACTGACTTTTTTGGGAAAATAATTATAATATTCAAAATTTTTTAGTGTATCGCAAAAAACGGAATATATGTCAGAGAAGTATTTTATGTGAACCCACATACCAATTTTTAGAAGAATCGGTCTAAAAATGTGGGAGTTATTAAAAAAAATGTATTACGTCACCACACACAAATTTTTTGAAAAATAATTTTTTTTTGGAAATTCTAGACCTCGTACGGAAACAAAAATAGCACCATTCGATACGCCGTAAAAACTGCTTCAGATAGACACCTTTTTAGGTCGTAACAACCAACTTCAAAATTTGACCTCACTTGACCTGACCTTGACCTGACCTCGACCTGAAATTCATCCATAGGTGGTCGATATCACTTATTGAGTGTGCCTATTGAATTTTATGAATAAAATGACCCATAAAACATGTGTCGCACATGCCCTTTTCCATATTTTGTTTTTGGTGACCTGACCTGACCTGACCTGACCTTGACCTTGACCTTTGAATGCTATTGTATGCAACGAATATTGTCTTGGTAGTCTAAGAACACGTTTTGGGCAATCAGTCTCAGTCCATTCTTCGGCAACTACGGTGCAAGACCGATACTTTTTTTTTATTCAGGCCACCCTCCAACGGGCACTTATTTCCCATTTACAGGAGGGCTTCTCCTCCTCCTGACACTTGTTCCCCCACCCCCAGGCTACGGCTGAAGTGGGAGCCTACCCCACACCTGGTGACACAGCCGGGGACGACGCCAGCGGAACGGGCGGAACCGGGAATCGAACCCGAACCCGGCACCGCCCGCACCGCGGGTCGACGCCATAACCGACTGCGCCACCAGGGCCGCATACTGTTTACCTACTTAAGCAAAAACATTGGGCTCTTAAGATCCGCCTTGTTAAGAGCTTTCGATTGCCGTTTTCCCCGTCTTTCTACGACCATCGGTTCGGAAGTTAGAGGGGGGAAGGGCAGAATCTGCTCCCCCCAGCAGGGCGCGTATGGCTGAATAGCCCAGCGGGGCACGGGTTAACTGAAAGCAGTGCACAATGAATGGGAATCACAGAAGTTTTTGGAATTTAGAGAAACGTTCTGGAGGTATGCACTGTGCCCTCTCCAAAGCGTCCGAGGGGCCTTCTTTCCGGATCTGCCTACGGCTCGATGCTATTTGATCTTGTAAGACATTTTTGAGCATGGTTAGCACCTTTATCCAAAAGAAATGTAAGTATTACGAATAAATACGATTAAGAAACGGCACAATTGCATACGATTGAATTTGCGGGATAGTGTTAGAAAAATAGAGCCACTTTTCGAATCCACTTATTGAAACAAGCCCCTTTCATTCGGTATGTGTTCTAAAACATCGCTCTCTATACCGTATGTGTATTGTGTATGATTGGATAGATCAATAGCATCATATATCCGAGATGTCATATGGCACTGTGAGTATTTTGGGGTACACAATACGCATTTTATATCATGTGACACCACAGTCATTGTGAATCACATTTTGCCATCCACTGATGCTGCTTTTTAGTTTTTCCCACATTTCTCTGATTCCGATTTTATCAATTTCTGTAGACTAACTAATGCATAGCATTGCTACCAAATACCAATACATATACCTAACCACCGTCTTCCGTCGGATTATTTGTCCGCGAGGTGAGACAACTGCAATTATCTTATTTTCCTTCGTATGAGGTCAGCAGTCTTCATGTTTTAGTTTGCTGAGCCCTGTCATCGCTTCCTTGAAAAGAGTAACAAACATTCGTATTTTCATCTAAGTCATAAATTAGCCACATAAATTAGTCTTAAAGGACCCGTGAAGGCATAAGAGCAGATATTGCTCAGTTTTGGGATATACTAATTGCTCGTCTATTTTTCTTTTTTTTTGTACGGTTCATGTGGCTTTGCGGGGATATTTCCATTTACAGGTAGCGAATTTTTCATCATAGTGCTTTACACAAGCCGCACGGAATGACCTATGGATGACCTTACCTAAATCCAGAGCAGTTCAATTAGTTTGCCTCTTTACAACTCAGCTATAATGTCACAAGTTAAACTTGACTAGCAGAACGAATTGAAGGGCGTCCAATCAACATTGATCCGTGGTGGATAATGCATGCAATGATGATACAATTATGGAGACTGAATAACGGTCAAAGGTGGCACCAAGGTCTTCAAAATGAGGTTTACACGGTTCACCCAGCAATACTGTAACCGTCATCAGCTTTTTACACTTCGCTGTACCCTCAACCTTGTGTAAGCTCCGGTTGGACATATAATACCAAAGCAATTACCGCTGTAATTAGAAACTCATTCCGCACGGAAGCACTTAGGTTTTTACAACTTCTTGAAGTTATGCAATGTGAAGGAAAGCTGACAAGGAGCGGTTGGTGGCTGTTAATTGACATGCGACATTCACCAAATGCGTCGCCGGGGAGAAACGAGTTCACTGGGTGTTGACGGGTACTATAAAGCAGCGCGACACTAACCCATCCAGACACCGCCGCAGAGTCACAGAGGAAAGCAACAACAGGAGAGCACTGACCCAAAATCCATAGTCGGCGGAGCGGGGTGGCACCGGGGCACCGTGCCCCCTTGTTTCTGCCATTTTAACATTAGCCCTATTGGACGTTGCATGGAAAGAATTGGAACCGAGTCGGCAGTGCCCCCCCCCCCCCGTACTTGAAGGTGTTCCGCCGCTACTGCCAAAAACCAGCTGAAGCTTCACTCAACGTATTACTATTTTTCGATGACGGCTATACCTATTCAAAATATCCGGAACAGAAAATTGCAATATCTTTTACCATGCTTTGAAGATACACTCGAGAGACAAATATAAGCTACAAATGTGGTGGGCCCTCGCGTTTCACGTTATCATCCAGAGCTTCAGTCAGCGGTCTGTGCAGGTCAGTCGACTGTCAGGTCTTTGACCGACAGACGAGCTCGTTACCTGCTGACGCACACTGGTGCGCGTTCGAACCTTATTGGCCCGCCTCCGTAACACCAGGGAAGTTCGACAAACTGAATAACACGCCGCGCTGGCCGCCCGGCTGCAGCAGGTAGCTCGACCGACTGCACAGCGAAATTCCCGCTCGGAGCGATACGATTAAAAAATGGGCGGCGAAGTTAGCGGATTACGTCACAACTCACAAACACTGAACAGACCAGGGACAGACCACACAGAGGTCACGAAGGGTCGGCGCCGAATCGGTCCGAACCGTTTCCGATCTAACTATAGCCAAATGGTCGGCCGTGTGTCAATTGACGCGCCGCATTGTAGAGGAACACAATAGAAGGCTATACCCATTCTTGTTTGGCTTATGCATGTTCTATTCAGTGACGTGAAAAGACGGTAAAGAGAACAACTAAAAACACAGTCGTGCCTGCTAGTTGTTTATCATCATCATCATCATCATTTATTTCGTTTGGAAGCTCCATGCACTCACGGCTTTTCAGTCCAAGTGTCATACAGTAAATAGATAGGCACATATATAAAGCTAAAATAAACACTAAAGCTAAAAGTAAAAACCATGAAAAGCATGGGGCTTAAAAAGTAAAATTTTATTGAACGTAAAATTGAAGGTAGCTGTGTTACCTTTTTTGCGGATGTAAACAAAAAGTTCAAGAGCTCAAACTTTTGCAAAAGTTGCGGCTTTTGCGCAAACTTTTGCGGCTCCACACCATGGTGTGGAGCCGATAATGGCCATGTTTCAGAGAAAAGCCAATAGCCAAAATTTCTCATTTCTCCTTCAAAGCTGTATGAAAGGAAACTTTCCCCGCCGTCAAATAACATAAAATAACCCTCAGCATTCCGCCTGGAGCATTTAGGTATTGAAGCAAGCTTCCAAGCTCGCCTTACTCGATGCTTCGTTTTATCGTTTGAATTTGATTAGAAATGACAATAATCAACAATATGCTACGCTTACATCACTTTGCGAGTTTACCAACGCCCTCCAACAGCTGACTGAATTGAATCACCTGATAAAACAGCTCCTGCTGTTAGCTTGGCTGTTAGTCAAGGGTGGGCGGAAGGTCTCTCTGCGATGGTTTCTAAGTTGAGATTTGTTTTCGTACCTAATTATGAATATTAGTTGCAATACATGAGAGGGGTTTACTGCTAATGAATAAGACGTTAAGATGCATGTCCAAGAGATACCATACCGGACAACCCGTAGTGATCAATGAAGTTAGATAAAACGGCGTAACGCATTTGGATCGGAAGTGGTGGAAGGTGATGGCTGCACTTGATTGCAGGTAAGAACCGGCTTATGTTATGCCTGCCCTAAAACTTTTGAAGCATTCGACTCTCGATTTTTTGCCTACGGTGAGCCGGTTTTGTGAGTCGAGAGCAAAAGTTTACCACGTCCACGGCGATCTAGCTGGAGCCATTTTCGGCATTTTGTTGACCGCTGCCTTTTGGACCTCTGCATTTGCCTACATGCGATGATCAAGAGTCACTGAGGACCTAACTGGAGCAGCATGAGGGAGGTGAAGGCGCCAAGTGTCTACATTGATGTTTGGGAGCTCGGGTTATTTCTATATACTGCCATAACATGAATTTCCATAAATTATGCTTAATTAGGGGTCCCAAAGTTAGACCATGTCCCCCATGTCCCCCCGGCCGCCAATGCAAGTCGCACACCATGCCTATCAGGTAAAGGCGTCCGTCTAGCTCAGTCCGGACATTAAGTCAGCACAGCGCCGGTCACATGCGGGCCGTCCATTTGCATATCGTCGTGTCTCGAATGGGCACGATGGCCTCGACAGACAGCATGTCCAGCGAGACTGCCCGGTGCGGGGCAAGATACGCCGCCTGTCGATGAACCAATGTTCATATATGATGGGCCGAAGTTCTGGCAGATATATCAGGTGTGCACCGTGTGGATGTCTTCGATCGCATGCGATTGTTGATTCTATCCAAGCGTATATTCGCAGCTCAGTTAGTTTGATGGACGTTTTAACCTGACCCTCGCTTATCATACAAATGAAGCTCAGGGAACTATCCGATTCTTTAAGCGGCGCTTTACTGTCAAGGCTCCCTGGAAGTGCAAAAATGAAAACAGTTTTATTGTTAAAAATTCGAAGAGATCGAAAAGTAACACTTTATAGAGATAAAAAGGTAAAAACATACCATTTGTCATTAATGCTAAAAACAATAACACACATTCAACGTGAGAGGAATTAATAACACAAGTCGAATATGTTGTTATTGCAGAGATTTCAATGCACCTAGCTTCGTGCGTCCATTTACCGTTGCTGCACAAGACATAACACCTAACCATATCCATCAATATCTACAAATCTACGCACATTATCCCGTATTCTATGTATAAAAGTAACAACATGATTTATTGTTTCTCATGAACTATATAAAACAGGAGCGTGTCCACGCGCTCCTTCGAATTGTACTGGCACAGCGCTGGTCAGTGAACAAGTATACATAAACAATTTAATATGCACCCATAAACATTGCACGGCACGTTGTTTTGCTTTTCGCTTCAGTCCAGCGCAGGGTCAGACCAATGGAGCTTATCCCGCATTACTTGGCTTTTCACTGCGATCGTCCCCGCTGCTCCAGCTGGGCACAGAGTGACGGTGTCCTGCCAGCCCCCCTCACTGCCGCGGGGGTCAGCCGGCGAGTAGGGCGGCGGCGGTTCGTCGGGCACCATAACCGCCCCCAGCCGCTCCCACTGGCACTGGAACTGGCGCGGCGTCAACGGCTGCGGCAGCGCCGGCTCACTCTGCGGTAATCCGGCGCCGTCAGCAGCTGCGCCGGCCGGCGGCGGCTGCGGCTGCGGCTCGCAGGCCTCCTCGGGCGGCGGAGCTCCGAGCTCCGATCTCGGCGGACGGCTCAGGGACGCCTCTGTCGCCGGAGGGACGGTATCTGTCGGCGCCAGTGACGGCCCGGCCTCGGAGTACTCGGGCGGCGGGTCACACTGAGCTGCCGGGCCGGCAGCGGACGGGCTCCAGCCGGTCTGATGAAGCAGCCACAGGGCCGGGTCCAGCGGCTGCCATGCGCTGAGACCCGGGGCGGGCGGCCGCCGCCACTGTGGCACGCCGTAGCCCGTCGGTGGTGCGGCGTCCAGCCTCAGCCGGCCCGCTGTCGCTAAGTAGTGAGGGCGAGCCGGACGGCCGCAGCGGCTCTGGTGCGTCGGAACTACTACCGGTGCGGCCCCATCTCGGCTGCAAGTTCCGCCTGCCAGGTCCTCCTCTTCAGTATAGTCCGGCGGAACCATGGGGTTATCGACGCCCCGCTGCTGCTCGGCTTCTGCCGTCACGGTGGCCAGCTCGGTGGCCGCTCCGTCCCACCGCCGTCGAGTCCTGGCCTCTCGTTTGGCGCTCACCAGGTGGTCGCGCAGACACGGCGCGTAGAAGCACACCAGCACCACACCGGCCACGGTCAGGCAGAACGCCAGCACAGTGATGATGAGCGCCATGACGGCCGGCGGCGCCGCTGCGCGCCCCGACACCCCTCGGCGCCGACTGGCAGCTGCACCGGCCGGCCTGCATAGCCGATCGAATCATGTGACCGGCACTGGCGGCCCCCAAGGCCTGTCATGGTGACGGCGGCGGCCGGCGGCGCCGGCACGGGGCGACAACCACTGCTCGTCCGTAAGTTTCCTGGTAGGCCGCTGCACGCGCTGCTCAATGTCAGTGTGGAGGAAGACAAGGATAGGGCTGTCAATCAGTCCGCTTCCGGCTACAAGTGTCAGGTCCCGGTATATGCGCATAAGGGATCGCGAATGAAACTCAGATACCTTATGCCTTAGCTCGGCTCAGCCCCAAACCCGCCTACCGTGCGTTGGTCACGGTGTACGACCGCGGTGCTCACCATCCTATACAGTGGAAACTGTTGCCAGTTGCGCCTGAAAAAAGTCAGCGGAGTGGCTTATACGAACACTCATCAGTCTTAACTACCCGCATACGAATCCTTTCCATCTCCGCTCGCTTCCGATTTGGCATTTACAAAATGGGGGCAAACGACTTCTGAAGGTGGGAGTCGCGTCTCTTGCACGCTTAAAATGTCTCAAAATCAAAGCTGAAAATACAAAAAACTGCTGTGTAGCGGAAATAGCTAGCCATAGATAACAGTTCTATTGTTCTCTGGGCTAGCATTTAAAAATGTTCACAAGGCACCGTTGAACAAACTGTATGAGCACATAGGTACAATATCAGGTTATGGAAATTTTCCCATGTTTTGGACACATATTATGAAGGGGCAAAAATAAACGTTTGCCCTCCTCCAAAAGTTTCTTATGGGATGACGCCTCCTTTGCCGCCCCGTATCCGTCGCCCCGTAAGCAGCCATTTAACCCGCGCCCTGGTGTGTGTGTGTGTGGGGGGGAGCTATTCCCCCCTCCAGACTTTTCGATGTATCTCCAGAACCGCGGCACCGATCGTAACCAAAGTCTCATTACCCTCCCGGACATTAATAGTACACATTGTGCCCGAAAATCATTCCAAAGGCTATGATAGGTTGGTCGCAAATGACGTCAGAGTGATATCATGTTCTGCCGTTTTCGACCCAAAAAAAGATTTCGCGGGATAAGCTGTCAGGCCTATAACTTTGAAGATACAGAAAAACCCTTAAGACAAAAAAGGTGTAAAATTACCAGGGCTATCAAAATTTTATCTCCAAATTTTGAAATTTTCGAATTTTGACTCCTAAAAATGAAAAAAAAGTTTTTGAATACAGTAGCCAAAAAATCCAAAAGTTTTTCGAATTTCGAAAAAAAAAACGGAATATATGTGATAGCCTCTACCGAATTCTATTTTTGACCTGACATTGACCTGACCTTTAACAGGAAGTGACCTAAACCGTTCCTGATGGTCTTATAACCAACACCATTAAAGGGACCCTCCCACCTTAACATTAGATTTGAGTTGAGATAGCCAAAATGGGGTCCCTGGCTCACAATTACCGGTTTCGGCACTCACAACATCGAGAAATGCCTTAAATCGGAAATATTGAATTTCAAAATTGCAGCATTTTGATTCAGAGGGGCTAATGCTTAGGGATACCCCTCTGAATGTGTGACGTCAGCGCAAATATCTAACGATTTTTAAATGTTTGACTAAAACGTTTTGTAGCACGCGGTGGTATATGCTATTTGCGCGCAACATCTGCCGCAAACGCCGCACTTCTAAAACAAAGTCGCTAGAAACAGCGGAGATCCCAAAAAAGTAAACAAAAGTAGAAGTCTAATATCTTGAAAACCGGTGAATATTTTTCGGTGAAATTTGGTAGATATTCGTTTTCGCTCTTTCTGAACCGAGCGACATCACTTTCATGCCGATTCATAAACTTTTTTGAAGGTGGGAGGGTCCCTTTAAGTTGGAAATGAAAAAATGGCCATTAAACATGCATCACACAGCCCTAGTAAAATTGGGTTCATGTGCTGACAATTGGTGACCTGACCTGTGACCTGACCTGGTATTATCAGTGACCTCTAATAGCAATATATGTACTGATGCCCTACTGCTGATTTTCGATAAAATGCGTCTTACTCGATGTTATAGCGCATTCCCTAGAAGACCCGTGAACGGCAAAACATTTTATATTTGACCTGACCTGTGACGTCATCGGTGACCCCGAGGTCAATGAAATTGGAAATCCTTCAACAAATTTAACAGAGCTTTTGGACGCCGTTTAATATTTGCGGATTCGTCCAGTAGTTTCGGAGATACGAGGGGGGAATATGCCCCCAACAGGTCGCGTTATAAGCAGACCCCACCGCGGGTTAAGGCCTGGGCGGCCGCTGCGTCACATCGACGCTTATAATGCCTCCAAAACGAGGTTGAAGAGATGGGAACTTATACTGAAGGCAAACACTTGTCTTTTAACCCTCGCCGGACTTATTGGTTTTCTACATCCGCGCCGGCCTAGGGGGGGTGGGTGGGTACGACCCCCTCGCCGTTTCGCCCCTGGTGGAGCTAGCGCGTCGCGGAAAAAACGAGCGTGTCCGCCGTTACGAGACGCGGATATTGATAACCGATTTTAAGGTCCTAAGTCAACCGGTGACCTCTGAGGTCAGGTCAAGTGCCCCAAGGTACGGTTCCGTTTTTGGTGAATAACTTCGCAAAAACGGTCGCATAGCCGCGATTTTGGCAGCATCGTGTTCGCCACGGTTGGTCGAAGGAGGTCATGTCGCATATCATTCGATTCGGCAGGTCTTCCTGAGCCCATTGGTGGCTTTCCCGACTCGCTAACTCAATTTGATCGGGAGTTATTGACGAAAAACTAATATGACCTTGATGACGTCATAAATGACGTCACGCAAGGTCAGCATTGCAAAAGTGACGCATCTAACCTTGCAAGGAGTGCATCAAATCACGATTCTGTGTGCTTGAGATAGTTGGAGATCGTTCCCGGCGCCAGAATAGCAGTTTTCATTTTTCCCCATTGACTTATAATGGTGAGGTCACGAAAATGACCTGACCTCATATGACCTTAAGGAAAAATCCGAGATGTACAAGTCGTGAGACTCGTAATGGATACTAGATCCTGCAAGTTTCATTTCCTGTGAAAGCTCCTCTGGCAGTGAGGGCGTTGCGAAGTTGCGACATCTGAAGACCATGCAGAGGTTCACTTATGACGTCATAGGTCAGTGACCTGACCTGACCCGAAAATACGGTTGGTGTCAAAAGATCCGGCTTGAATCAAAGGTCAGATATGTCAAGTTTCAGCTCTCTATCGCCAGCGTGTTCGGAGCTATCGCGAAAAAAACCTATGGGGGGGGGGGGCGGCGGCACCCGCCCCCCTCGGCCGGCGAGGGTTAACCCTCGCCCGTATTGGTGTTTTTCCAGCCGCGAACGTATAAGGGGGGGGGGGTCCGTTGGACCCCCCCTTGCCGTTTCGCCCCTGATCGAGCTAAAGCTTCGCGGAAAAAACGAGCGTGTTGCCCCGTGCCCGTGACGAGGGGAAGCCGATGATACCCAATTTTAAGGTCCTAGGTCATTGGTTGACCTTGCAGGTCAGGTCAATGACCCCAAAGGCGGGAAAATCGGGACCTGTTAGAACGTCGTAAAGTGTGGCTGCTATAGGTTTTTTTTCGGGGTGCTGATCACGAATATCATGTTAGTTTTGATCAGAGATGATGTATTCATGTATTTAGGCCAGGTCGGGTCAGGTCAGGTCAGGTCAACCAGTAAGGGTATTCGTAGTAGGTGGCAACCGCCTCTGACAGCTTCGTAACATGTTACGAAGGCACCAAAACTACTTCGTAAATGTTCATATGGTTGCTAAATTCGAATTCAGCTAAAAAAACTGGCCTAGAAACATGTAAAACTCGAAAAAGTGAACCGAGGTCATCAAAGGTCAATGACCTGACCTGACTTTCAGGTGACCTTGACACCCACTCTAATGCATGGGGGCAACATCATATCACATGTTTGAACGCTTGAAACCACGAAAAGACTGCAAACGCGCGGCTAATGCGAGCCGACATACGCCGAATCGCGATTCCAGCCAAACATGGTCTCGAAAAGTAGGTCACAGGTCAAAGGTCATTTGGGTCAGGGTCATGAAATTTTCAGGGTAGGTGTGAAATTGATGAACGCGAGGGTACTGAAAGTTTCGTCGCGATCGGCCGCTTTTTACGCGAGTTATTCGCGAAAAACCATGGGGGGGGGTCCGTTCGACCCCCCCCCCTATACGGGCGAGGGTTAACTCTCGACCTATTGGTTTTCTACAAACGCGACGGCCGAGGGGGAAGGGGAGTGTACGACCCCCTCGCCGTTTCGCCCCTGATGGAGCTAGAGCGTCGCAGAAAAAAAAAACGAGCGTGGGCGCCGTTACGAGACGCAGCGATTGGTACCCGACTTTAGGGTCTTAGGTCAGCTGGTGACCTGCAAGTTCAAGTGGCCCAAGGTACGGGCTCGGTTTTTGGCAAATAACTTCGCAAAAAATGGCCGCAGATCCGCGATTTTGACAGCATCGTGTTTGCCTTGCTCAGGCACGTCGAATTGTATGCTTTTTGTTTGGGTGAGGTCAACTTGAGGTGTTGACCTCGAGTCACGGTAGGTAAGGTCAGAGCCTTCCAGGTCATGAACTTGGTCGAAGAAGGTCATGTCGCATATCATTCGATTTGGCAGATCTTTCGAGCTCATTGGTGTTCTTTTCGTCTCACTAGCTCAATTTGATTAGGAGTTATTGACGAACAACTCTTATGATCCTACATGTACAGTCCACAGCAGAAGTAATGTGTGGTTTCAGTCATGGGTATGTTCTGCTTCTGAAGCTTAGGAACGATTAGCCAGACTACAATGAAACTTTGAATGTAGCTTATATGTATCGTCACTCTTGCAGCTGCAACTTTAGCTATTGACATCTTCTTTTCTATCACTCCGCATTAAACAATCGCCAGTCAAAGCCAACCGTTGAGATTGGTAAAACCACAGATAACAGTAGTACTACTGTTATCTGTGGTAAAACCCT